TCTCCAGCCCCTGGGGTCTCTTTCGTTTGATGCTATGTATGCCAGGCTACATGACCCACGGACTTCTTCTGGGGATTCCTGTCTAGGCCTCCTATTTGCCAACAGGAGCACTGAGATTCCCAATGTGCACTACCGTGTCCAGCTTATATGGGTTCTGGGGATTCTAATTCAGGTCCTTTCGTACTTTCATCTACTGAGCAATCTCCCCAGGCCCGAAATAGCATCTGAAATAATTCTATCATATTACTCTCTTTGGTACACATTTATTACGCAAATACAACGTCCTCAATGGTACTTCGCTAACAGTAGAAAGCTAAGCAGTGGAATTACTAAGCAGTAACCCTGAATCCAAAGAGCCCGTGGCCTGACGCAGAATCCAGCTTGGAAGAAGCCCAGCTATGTGGTATAAACTGCCCGGCAGAACAGGAGGAAAAAGACACAGCCAGGAGAGGTGGGGCGGGGGAAGTCGAGGAAAACCTCCCAAAAGGAAAGCTCAGGGCTGGCTGGAAAGATGAGTCACATTCACCTACAGACTCGAAGCAAAACAGAATCCCAGAATGAAGGGAAACAGTGAACTGGGAATTCATCCCAATCCAACACTCATGAGTTCAAGGCCATCCTCAGCTACACGGCAAATTTATGGTTAGCCTGGGGTTATACCTTATTTCAAACAGTAACACAAAAACAAACTCATGAGAGCAGCAAGAGTAAGCAAGCTGTTGGGGTAAAATAGCCGCTGCAGGTCTTCCTGCAGCGACACTGGGAGGTTTTACTGGTGCAGGCAGCAGGAAAGTGAGACTTGTTGTAGCCACAAAAAAGGTGGACCAAGATTCGAATTTCGCACCGCCAACTCATATTTTCAACGTCAAGAGTTCTACTCGTAAAGATTTCCAGGCTCAGGGTTTCAAACCTGTGAGCTCTAAGCCAGCCAGTACCACACGGCAAAAGCTGCTCAAAAAATAAAAAGAACCTGCTTACACAGAATGGAATCGGTATTCCCAGCCCCGGGAGGCAGAGGCAGGGGGATCACTGTAGGCTCAAGGGCAGCCCTATATATGTAATAAGTCCCAGGTAAGCTGGGGCCACTATGTAGTGAGACCCTGTCTCAGACAGACAGACAGACAAGCGGAATGCTAAGACAGTCAGCTAAGTGGTCCAAACCTGTACACAATCTCCGATACTCCGGGGGCTAAAACAGGATTTTTAAATTCAAGACGGCCTCCACTACAGAGTGAGTTCAAGGCCAGTCAGAGCAATGCAGTAAGACACTGTTCCAAAATTTAAGAATGTTTGAAAAATACAAAGAAAAAACAAAGCAAAACAAAAGCAGCTGCAGCTGGAGAGACGGCTCAGTGATGAAGGGCGTTTGCTGCAAGCCGGGCGGTGGTGGCGCACACCTCTAATCCCAGCACTCGGGAGGCAGAGGCAGGCGGGTATCTATGAGTTTGAGGCCAGCCTGGTATACAGAGAGAGTTCCAGGATAGCCAAGGCAACAACACAGAGAAACCCTGTCTCAAAAGAAAAAAAAAAAAAAAGGAAAGAAACAAACAGTATTCACTGCTCTTCCAGAGGACTGGAGTCTGAATCAGCATTCAGATTGGGCGGCTCACAACTGCCTCTAACTCTAGGGGATCCGACACTCTCTTTCACAGGCACTACACTCATGTGCACAGATGCACACCCAAACAAACGGTAGAGAAATAAAAACGTCTTTTGTCGGGTGTGGTATTGAGTAACTGTAACCCCAGCATTTCGAAGGTAGACACGGGGGGATCAGGGAGGCATTCAAAGCCAGCTTGGCTGCACATGGAGTCTGAGGCTAGCCTGAGCTCATGACACCCTGTCTCAGGGCGCTGTTGGGGCCAGGGGATGGCTCAACAGGTAAAGTGCTTGCCGCACAAACCGGATGACCCGAGTTTGATCCCCAGGACCCACATGAAGGTGAAAGGAGAGAAATGACTCCACCAAGTTGTCCTCTGACCTCCACAGGAGCAACATGGCACATGTGTGTATACACAGACACAGACACCATACACACTGTACACACACACCAAAAATCAACTTTTAAAAAGACAGAAAATGTGTATTGGGTTTCATGCACTCCAGTAATAATACTCTGAGCCTCCATCACTAATCCCGAGGAGAATTACAGCGCTCTCAGCCCCAGGCTCGCTTCACTTCACTTTAACCTGATGTGCTCCTCATACTTCACAGCAGTTTTCAAAGAAGAAAAACCATGGCAACGGCAGATTGTCACCGATTTAGAATAATTAGGAACCAACAGAATGACTGGCAGAAACAAACGTGGTGAGCATGGCCAGGAGACAGGGCTACGGCTGCAGTGAAGTGCCCGCCTGGCCTGCGTGCGGCCAGGTTCACTAAGGCTGGCCATCACCCTTCAGATACCAGCTGGGAGCAAAGCGCTCTTCCCGAACCAGGCTGCTGAGCGAACATTTCTTCAGTCACTAAAGGGGTGGTCCTGGGCAAACTACTTAAATTCTCCTCAGTTTCCCCAAATAAAAACGGGGACAGTACCACAGTGAGTTCCACATAGTTCATTAACACGGTAGTCATACTAAGTAACTCCAGAGCCAGTACGAGGGCACTGTAATTCCAGCACTCAGGAAGCTGAGACAGGAGGATCTCTCTAAGTTAGAGATCCTCCTCACCGAAAGTCCCAAGCCAGCCAGGGTACTCATAGTGAAGCCCTGTCTCAGAGACCATAACATCCAGAAAGCCTTTCGACAGTGGTAAAGATTCTAGGCCTTCTCATCCTCTAGAACTACAGCCCACCTCTAATATCTACTGTCTCAATATAATTTTTTTTTTTTTGAGTCAGGGTCTTACTCTTAGCCCAAGCTGGCTGGTCTCAAACTCACGGACAATCCTCCTGCTTCAGCCTCCAGCTGCTGGGATAACAGGTGTGAGCCACCAATTTCAACAAGACTTCTGACAGTGGTAAACCCCATCTCTCCCCAGGACTGGATGAAAAAGTATTCACTTAATGCTGGTCCCCACCTGAAATCCTTTCGCGGAGGCTAGCAAATGGGGAAGGATGCAAAGCTGGCCTGCTGCTAGAGGGCCACAAGCCAGACCTGCACTCCCAGTGGGAGGAACCAAGGAACCGAAGGCACAGTGGGCCAAGAACCCCCGACAGCACAGGTACTGTCCTCACTGCTCCTACGTGCAAGCACGAACAGGGGCCCAGAAAAAAAGGATCGTTTACTGGCCGAGTTCCAAAAGAGGAAGGCCTAGCAGATACTCCTTTCCCTCCATATTTCAACATTAAAACTCCCAACTTTTTTCCACTTTGTGATTTCAATGACAGGTATAGGAAGACAAGGTAAAAATGTCTAAAATAGACCAACACATGCTGTGGGGCTTGCACAGCAGGTGAGGGCCCCTCCTGGGACAGGTGTCTTGACAGATTAGGGTTACTGCAGTCACAGCTCCCTGGGGACACACGGAAGGAAATTCCCTTTCCAGAGCATCAGCTTCCTTCCACCCAGCCTGACAATGGACGCCAAAGGATAAAGGGCCATTTAAAAACAAACACAGTGGGCTTGCTAGTCTGGGTGTGTCAGGCCCTGGGTGCAAACTCCAGCACCGAAAACAAAGAAAAAAAAAAGTGGGATTTCTTACAGTGGAACACAGCGTTCTGCCGACTGCTACAGGAGCTCGTTAAGCCTCCCGGTCGCCCAGCCCCAAGTCACTTCCCTTCTTTGCACTCTAGTGTCCACTGGGGTGTGGGGATGGGACGGATGGGACACACAAAAGCAAAAGGCCTGAGGTTTGGAAGCTAGTGTCCAACCACCCACACTCCACTGCCCCAGGTCTCCCTCCCCTCTCTGCGTCCCCGAGGCTGCTGACCCGCTCTGGAGTCCAAGCAGGCGCCGCTACTACCTTGGCTAATGGCAACACTGAATGAAAGGAGCCGAGGCAGGCTTAGGATTTATGAATGTGCAGGGGAGGAGGGATATCATGTGACAATAAAGGAGAACGTCTTATTCACAAAAAAAAAAAGAAAAGAAAAAAGTGGCTGGTGGCGAGCACCGTCGCTCAACAGCGGCCGCAGAGCCGGACCGCTCGGACCCCAGGCGGCCCCGCCCCCAGAGCCCCGCGAGGGAAACGCCTCGGACCCAAGAGCGGGGACCCAACCCAACACGCGACCAAGGCGGGAGGCTGCTGCCACTTAGCCCGGAGACGGTGACAGCCCCGGGTCTCCCGGAGGGGCGGCCCGGGAGCACCTCCGACTAAGCACCGAGAGCTTTGTTCCCCTCGGGCCCGCGGGCCGGGCACATGCACGGGCACGCGCTCTCCCTCACATACACGCCAGGAGCGCGCTTCCCCGCACGCTCTCTCCCGCCCTCGCTGCACACGCTTCGGATCCGCCCCCAGAGCTGCCCCGACACCGCGGGGCGCGTGTGCCGGCCCACACGCGCGTGCACACACTCACGCGCACCGGGACTCCGCGGGCTGCTCCCGCGCTCCGGCTGCTGCGCGGACCCAGGCGCACGGACCCTGTGCCGAGCCGAGCCGGGCCGGCCCTCCCCCAACTCCTTGGTGTTTTTATGAATGAAAATGTGGTATGCAAATGAGAGCGATTCAAGAAAAACGAAATGGCGGAGCCGGGCCCCAGAGGGCTCGGGAGAGGACTGTAGGGCAGGCAGCCGAGTCGGGAGTCACAAAGTCACCATGCACACATACCCATCGACCCCGGGATGCCCCGCGTGGAGGGCGTCAGAGCTTCCGCTCGCGCAGTGCGGGAGACCGCCCCGAGGTCATTCGCGCGCCCTTGGCCCCGGCTGCGACCCAGACTCGCAGACCCTAGGCGGTTCCTGCAGCCTCCCCCAGCCAGGCTGGAGAGCCTTGCGCACAGCCCCGACAGCCAGCAGCGCCCCACGCCAAGTTCCCCCCGACGAGTCCCCCGCCCGCGTCCTTGGCGGCGGCCCCCAACGCCGCCCCGCCGGGCACCCGTGTCCCACCCGCGGCGAACTTACTCGTCCGGGTGTGTTTCTTCGGTCATTTTCTTGTTCACCTAGACGCCTGTCCCGCGGCGGGCAGCCTGGCTCCCTTCATCTTCCTGTGCGCTCGCCCCCCTTCTTCACATCTCCGACATCTCCTGATTTGGTGGTGGAGGGGGGAGCTAGCGATGAAGGGGGCGCCGAGGCAGGCGGGGAAACGGGGCTCCCCGAGCGCAGGGCGAGGTCTGGGAAGGGGTGCACGGGGCAGCGGACGCCCCCGGCCGGCCGGGCGCGGCCCCCGGGCTCCGAACGGGCGCAGGGGCGAGATTTGGGAAGGGGACCCGGAGGGGGAGAGCAGCAGAAAAACAAGCACGCTCGGGGCGGCGGGCGGGCGGCCGGCTGCGGTGGGGCCGGGCCGGGGTCGCCCCCGGGGACCGGGCCAATCAGGGTTCCGGGTAGCGCTCGGCGGCCGGGGGAGGTGCGCCTGGGAGGCGGTGCAGGGCGCCCCGTCCGAACCCCATCTCGCGACTCCACCGATTTACTCCATATTGGATTCTCAGCGCCGCCAACAGGAGGAGGAAGTAGGGCGGAAGCGATGACGTCTTCCCAGCGGCCAGAGGTGGTGGAGTGCAAAAAGCTTCCTACTTGCGACCAAAAAAAAAAAAAAAAAAAGAGAGAGAGAGCGAGCGAGCGAAAAGGGAGAGAGGGAGAGAGCGAGAGAGACGAAAACACACACACAAAACACTTTGTCCCGCCTCCTGAGAGTGCTCCGCTCTTACTCCCCCTCCCGCTAGCTTCCAGTCCGGGAGGAGCCGTGGAACGTGGTTCGGGCTGCGTTTGTCTGGCTCCGAATCCTTGTCTCCGGGGCTCCGGGTTTTAGGAAGCCCAAGAGGGAGGGAGGCGGGAGCCGAGAACGAGAACACATCTGGCTCCCGTTTTGTCCCCTCCCTCCTCCTAAACCTTTGGATTAAAAATCAAGTGGGGAGGTGGCGGGGGCGGAGATGGGGCGGAGTTAAGCTGCAGCCCAAGAGTTCGGGCTCCGAGGAACACTGCAGGGTGCCGGGTGGGGGCGGTGCAGGTGGCCGGTCGCTGGCCTCAACATCTCAACTCTCATAGAAACCGAGCAAAGAGGGAGCTGGACTTTGCCAGTGTCCTGAATGGCAGAGGAGGTACAGTTTCACGAGAATCTTGCAATCTTTTTTGTCGACAGAGAGCAAGTGTTTTTCTAGCCTGTTTTTCAGGGTGGCTTCGAACTTGTTTTGTAGCCGAGGCTGCCTTTGAATTCTTGATCCTTTTGCCTCAGCATTCCAAGTGATGGGATTATTGTTGTACACCACCATGCCCACCCAGAGCGGGCATTTTAAAAAATTGTAATTTGTACACAGAAAACAAAAGGTACATCGGACCCAGCTGAGAAACTTTTGTATTGCAGGCAGAAATGGAGTTTAAAGGTAGCACCAAAATACATGAAATTACCCAGTAGTCTCTTTACTGTTGGTGCATAATGTCTCTGTCTCCAGCTCTTTAAGCCCATAGTTAGCAGAAGGGAGACCCGGCAACTCCCCATTACTTCACCGGAGCTGTCTTTTTATTTATTTATTTTTAAGAATGTGTTGGGGGCCAGAGGAGGCTGCATGCATGCATGTCTGTGCACCACATGTGAGCTGAGTCAGAGGCCAGAAGATGTTGGATCTCCTGGAACTGAAGTTGTAGCTGGTTGTTAGCCTCCACAAGAGTGCTAGGAATTGAACCCAGGTCCTCTGGAATGCCAGCCAATACTCTTAACTACTGAGCCATCTCTTCCCATCTCTCTAAATTTTTCTTGCCTTGGCCTAGGACCTGACTGAGATTTTCTGAGGGGACTCACACAACATCTGAACAACGAACAGGATTGCTCCCGGGACTTGTACATTTGCCTGGGATCTGAACTTGTGGTATTGAAATCCTTTACAATTTCCGAAGGGGATGCCATGTTTTCACTTTGCACTGGATCCCACCAATTTCAGAGTCATTGAGTATCTCCTGAGGTCCTGCTGGGGAACAAGAGGCATAGTCCCTGTCCCTGTCTGCTCCTGAAGACTAATGGACATTTCCTATTCTCCTGAATATGCCATGAGAGACATTTCCATAGAGATATTAACTAAATAGGATTTTAACTAAACAAACTAGGAGCTTAAATATTTACCTCAAAAATAGAAAGCTGCTGGACTGGATAATCCCGTTCAAAGAAGACTGAAGCAGGAGGACTGATACAAGTTCAAGTCCGGCCTAGTTTACACAGGGAATCCCAGGCCAACCAGAGCTATTAAGCAAGATCCAGTCTCAAACAAAACCACAAAAAGAAAAACCAGTCAGGCATGGTGGGTCATGTCTGTGATTCCAGCACTCTGGAGGCAAAAGGCAGGTGTACCTCTGATTCTGGTCTACACAATGAGTTTCAGGCCAACCATAATGGTGAGATCCCATATCAGAATAATAATAATAAAAACCAGCAGTGACAACTGAAACAAAACCCCTGCAAAAAAACAAAAATAGACTCCCTTAGAGGTGTATGCATAGAGAGAGATCCGCAAGGGCTTGAAAAAGGAGAGTTTCGCTTTTGAGTCAGGTAGAAACTGGAGGGTTTTTTGCTCTCCACAGCCATGATCTTTGTGGACACAGCCTGAGGTTCCGCACTCGATTCTGAGTGCTAGTGACATGTAGCAGTAAGGACACTAGACCTCATGAATACCTGCATTTTGGTTTTCTCTTAGAAGACCTGATACCCTGAAAGTGAGGTTTCTATTAATTCTTCAACTTTCACTGGGATAATAAGCAAACTCTGTCTTTTTTGTTTTTGTTTTTTGAGGTCATGAAGACTATGAGACATGCTGGGTGTGGTGGTAGAAACCTTTAATCCTGGCATTCTGGACATAGAGGCAAGTGGATCTCTGAGTTCAAGGCCATACTGGTCTACATATTGAGTTCCAGGCCAGGTAGGGAGGGGGGAGAAGACACTGATAGTAGAGATGGATGGCCCAGTGGTTAAGAGCACTGGTTGCTCTTCCAGAGGATCTAGGTTTGATTCCCATTACCCACATGTCCCCTCACAACTGTCTATAACTCCCTCTTCTGGCTTCCAAGGGCACCAGGCACCCAAGTAGTACACAGTTCTACATACAGACAAAACACCTATACACGTAAAAGAAAATCAAAGAAAAAGGGAAACATTCGGGGCTTGGAGGAGAGGTTAATACAATGCTTGCCTTGCCCTTCAAGGACCTGTGTTCCATCCTAGGCACCATATTAGGTGGCCTGTGTTTGTAGTCCCAACACTGTAGAGGTGGAGGCAGGCAAAGTCCCCAGGGCTCACTAGTCACTTCTCTGGCCTAACTGGCAAGTCCCAGATTCCAGTAGAACACTGCCTTAAAAAGCAAGATGGATGGCTCCCCAGGAAAAACACCCAGGATTTACCCAGCTCCCCTTCCCCACCACCCCAGCAGTGCTTGCACCTACATGGGCACACAATGAATGAGACATCTGCTGTCAACAGGGCCTTTGACACTATGAGAACTCCATGAATACAAACTACCTGGAAAAGGAATCGGTTTTGTTTTTTGTTTTTGGTTTTGGTTTTTTTTTTTGTCTGCAGCTAGAAGCCGGGTGGAGGCGGCACATGCCCTTAATCCCAGCACTGGGAGGCAGAGCCCTGTGGTCTCTGTGAGTTCAAGGCCAGCCTGGTCTACAGAGTGAGACCCAGGACAGGCACCAAAACTACACAGAGAAACCCTGTCTCGAAAAACCAAACCAAAAAAACAAAAAAGATGCAAGCTAGAATTCTGAGTCTGTGCATAGAGACTTCAAGAGAACCAAGCTAAATATTGGCTCTCTGATGAGCATGATTGTAGACATTCTTGAGTTGGATGTGGAATCTAAAGGCTTTGACTAGACACCTGTTCTTGATGACTAGCCCTTGCATTTAGACAACATTAAGTTGGGGGTTTTGTTGCATGGCCTGGACATCCTGTGCAGCATATCCTGGAAGATGGCTGCTTACCCACCATCACGGTGCCTTATGAACAATTGGCATCATGCCAATCTATTTCTAAAATTCATTGTAACGTCTCAGGAAATATTTGTATTTGTGTTGATTTGTTCCATAGATGTCTTATTCTTTTCTCATTCTCTCAGCCACTCCCACAAACTATAATAAAATCATGTTCCTTCTCAAAAAAAAAAAAAAGGATTGGAGACATTTGAAAATAAGTATTATTTTGTGCTGATTTTGAAATTTTCAATTCGGAAGCATCATCAGTCTGAAAGTACCGGGTGTGACGGCATCATCTGTATTCCCGATTCTTGAGAGCCTGAGGCAAGATAATCACTGTCAGTTGGAGCACCTAGTTCCAAGCTAGCGTGGGCTAGAGTGAGATCCTGCCTCAAACAAAAACAAAAACAAAACAAAACAAAAAAACCCAAAACAACAACAAACAAAAAAATGAAAAATGCGTGGGAGCATGCTCTTGTATCCCAGGAGGCAAGAGGGTTAGAAGTTCAAGGTCATTGCGTTCCAGGACAAACTGATCTATTTGAGACTCTGTTGGTCTTTTAAAATAAAGGGTTGACTCAGTAAGATGGTAAAACTTCAAAAGTACTGTAGATCTGCTCGCAACTTCACGAAAACCCAGCGCAGCGGCCAGCCTCTTAACTCTGAGAGGGAGGAGGGGGAGAGGCTCGGCAGCTCTTCCTTTCCCCAGGGGCTGCGGGAAAGCCTGGAGCACCCCTGGGCGGCAGCGGACAGCCAGGCCCAGTAGCCGGGCAGATCCTGCTTTTCGAGCAAGCGGCCGGGGGTCGCAGCACGAAGCGTGCATTTAGCCCCCCCCCCCCCCCCCCCCCCCCCGCGGCCCGCTCTCCCCACCCGGGGAAGGGCTGCGGCTGCACGTGCAATCGGGTCCCAGAGCTGTCCTCGCCTCACCCCACTCTGCCCCTTCGGTATTTCTCAATGACCGGCGCTCGAGGACACTTCCGACGCGGGGGAGGGGTGCCATTCGCGTGGTTTATCAGTTCCTTCCGGCCGCGCCCCGGCTCCTGCAGCGCCGACATCTCTGCTCCAGCAAGCAGCCACGGGTACCCCACCCGCTGTGCCAAAGGAGTCCCGGACCGCACCGCGCAGACTTGGTGAGAGACGCCACGGCCCTGCGGGGTGAATGGCTTGGGCTCATTGCACAATCTCCGGTATAATTAGCCAAGGGCGGCACTCCCAGATCATTTTCCCTTTCGGTTGCATAGCCAGGATTTTATTAAATAGAGATGAAAGGCCCTCGCCCTGCCTCCCTCCACGCGGGTTCAGTTATTATGAACGAAACGCCAACCCTGTTGCTTCTGAGGCCTCACTTCAGGTAGGATGGTGGCTGGACATGTGCTCAGTGGCTCACCAAAGGCTCCCGTGTGCCTTTGCTACGGAGAGACAGAATGCAGGAAGTAATCAAGGCAGCGGAGAAGGAAGCATTCTTTGTGTAAAAATGTAGCCGCCAGGGTTTGCCCCAAGTTTCAGTTTACTTACTGTACAAGCCTCAGCCAGTTTAAGAATGGGTTATGCAAAGGGTCTTTCATCTATGGCTGCTTACTCTTTTCTAGTAGGCTGCTGCTGGGTGGGAAGAAAGAAAAAAGAAAAGAGAAAGAAATCCTAGCACTTGGGAAGGATCAGAATTTCAAAGTCGGGTTGGATATGTGGCTTATAGCATTTAGTCTGCATGAAGTCCTGGGTTCGATTTCCCAGCGCTTCATTAATCTGGCCATGAAGTTGTGCATAGACCTGTAACCTATAATGCCAAAAAATTCATGGTCATTCTCACCTACATAGTTCGAGGGACACTTGGGATTCCATGAGGCTCTCACAGAGGAAAAAAACAAATGAAGACTACTTCTGAAACTACAATGACTGAAACTGGATCGGTGGGTAAATTTTTATAACCATCGTGTTTGTGAATGAACTGTTTTTGTTTGTTTTTTCGAGACAGGGTATCTATATGTAACAGTCTTGGCAGTCCTGGAACTCCCTCCCAGGCTGGCCTTGAACTTGAAAGATTCACCTTTGCCTCCCGAGAGCTGGGATTAAAGGTGTGCACCGTGCTCTCTTCGGCAGCACATATACTAAAGGTGTGCACCACCACCGCCCGGCTGAATGAACTTTTTTAAACCAAAAGGACGTACTTTATTAGCTCCTGAATTCTAGTTTTTCCTTCTTCTATATAGTTTTAGTTCCATGTAGTCACCCAGTCCTTTGGCAAGTGACACTGTGTACTCAGCAGGGGCGTCTCTTTGGATAGTGGAGGGTTTGCAAATACGCTGCTGGTGGTCACCGCCCGCAAAGGGATGCGCCACAGAATTCGTGGCCACACCTCATACACGTGTTTCGTCTTTGCCCTGTACTTGCCTTTAAGATGGGTTTGTCAGTTCTGCCCCCCGCGGTCGCAACCCCTCCAACAGTTCTGGACTCCGAAGGCAGCTTTCACTCGGATCATCTTGGAATGAGCCCTTGTTGTCGCCAGGCTTCTCCTTCAGACAACGGTGCCCACGCGCAAAACATTGCCGATTTTCAGGGGGTCTTCTTGCCGCGGTACGCGAACTATCCAATGTGAATTACTTCTGCGGCAACAAACAGCCGCTCTGTCCAACTTCTTAAATCGGTAGAGATCATGAAAGATAATTTTTCTGAGGGGAGTGTCACAATCAGGGTCATGATGCCCTTTAGATAGCTATGAGGAAGGCTTTCACGTGCTTGGCGCCCTTTCGGATCACATGGATCACGTGGCTCATGGCGAGTCTATTGGCAAGCCAGTTGAATGAATTTAAAATCTTACTTTTAGTGTGTTTAAAAACCATGTGAAGGAATCGTCGTTGCCAACTCGCCTTCCCACTTTGTAGCTCTGGCTATCTCGAACTCAACCTGCCTCTGACTCCTGAGTGCTGGGATTAAAGGTGTGTGCCACCTGCAATTGAATTTCCTTTCTTTTTTTCTTTTAGAACATTGCCCATGACACCATCACTTTCTGTTTTAGAACATCGCTATCTTCAGTTTCATACACACATATAATGTATGGTGATTACATCCCACCTTATTTTTTTAAATGAACATAATGTTTTCAATTGTAACCATTTTTAAGTTCTCCATCTTCAGATAACATCTAATCTTTCTGTCTCTATGAATTTGTATATTCTATATATTTCATGTAATAAAATTCTATAGTATTTGTCCTTTTTTTGAATGTAAAAACATTTTATGTACAACTGCAGGAGAAATAATACACAGATAACTTGAACATAAAAACAGGTTATAATTTAAAAGTCCAGGGTTATTTGAAACTGGAAAATATTTTCTCTGTAGAGAATAGTAAAAATGATGACATTTCCCAATAAGCCCTTTTAAGCCAAATAATAGCTGAATTATACATATAACTATTGATTAGATTCTGGGATACAGAATCTATCTTCTGTTCAGAGAGCTATGTTTTACTTAAGTTGTGTAAGTGAGATTCCTATTCATCTTCCCCTTCAATGTTTGATTTATGGCAGACATTTTTCTATAGTAATCCATAATCTAAAAAGATTGTAGCCTCCCCTCCTGAAAGTACAGCCAGCATATCCTTTCATCAGCTTGATATGGTACAAATTCTTATCCTAATAGTGAAATGTTTTACTAAAGCTTGCCCAGTGAAAGCCACAGTCATCCTAGGGTCCCCCCTGCTAGGTAGCCTCCCTGGATCTTTGGATTGCTTTATATCTAGTATCCACTTATGAGTGAGTACATACCATGTTTGTCCTTCTGAGTCTGGGTTACCTCACTCAGGATGATATTTTCTAGTTCCATCCATTTGCCTGCAAATTTCACGATGTCATTGTTTTTCTCTGCTGAGTAGTACTCCACTGTGTATATGTACCACATTTTATTACTCCACGTCCTCTCCAACATAGACTGTCATTAGTGTTTTTGATCATAACCATTCTGACAGGTGTAAGGTGGTATCTCAGAGTTGTTTTGATTTTTTTAAAGGCGTATGCCACTTGCAGTTGAATTTCTTTTTGGCAGGAATGAGGTAGGATGTTTGTGGAAACTAAACACATGTCTAGCTTGCCAGACCAGCATTCTACCACCACCAAGCAATGTTTCTAGTTTCTCTTATGCACTCCATAACTTAAAGCACTAAAATTTTCACAAATGGGTTTTTAGTGTATGGAAATCAATAGTCTTTTTTTTTTTCCCCCCCCCCGGAGCTGAGGACCAAACCCAGGGCCTTGTGCTTGCTAGGCAAACACTCTACTACTGAGCTAAATCCCCAACCCCAGGAAGTCAATAGTCAAGACACTTACTTTTCATAAGGCTTTAGGTATTCCATGAAGCCACAGGGATACCAAGGCAAATGAACCCACGTTCCTGACTTCTAGGG